TTTTTGCCTTGCCCAGGAACTTCTTGCAGGCTTCTGAGTAACGTTTCACTTGTGTCAAATTACTTTCAGTATCCCACTTCAGCTATGTCTTGCTTTCTGAAGCTGTAACACTATTAATAAATAACTTTGGTTTTAAATATAAGATTTTTAGGGAAATGTGGCTTTAATTAACTTCCAGAGGAGCTGATGTGGGCTGTCCTTTTGTAGGAACCTGCTCGGCCTGGTGTTTGGTTTCTGGGCGGGGGGGATTGTCACTTTTAAGCTGCCCAGGTGCGTAGTTGGTCTTTCCAGCTGCATTCATAGAAAAAGACTTAATGTGGAAATTAGTCGTTCACCTGATGTAGCATGCCTAAAGCTGGGACAACATTCATTTATTCTGGTCTTATGATTAATAAATGGCCCTTAACTATGTAATCTACCAAGTGGAAAATGGTAAGAGGCAGTAAATGCTCTTAAATGAAAGTTCTCTAGTAATTCAGCCTGTCTGAGTGTTTGGGATTTATTGCTTTGTTTTGAAAGTGACCTGCAAGTGGAAAAACAGCTCCCTGTTTTTCTTCATATGGAAAGCTCTTGCACTGTCTTCCCCAGCTGCCCCCTACTATCCCCACCCTTAAGAAAAAGAAAAGGGAATTTCTTACTGCTTTTTGTACTGAAAGTGAAATGTCCCGCCAGCAGCAGTGACAGCTTGTGCTGACGCCTGTTTGCTGTGCATATATGTGACATCCTGAGACCGTACGTACAGGCTGTGCCGCCTGAGCAGGTGCTCGCGGGGGCTCCGAGTCCCCATCCCTGGTAGGGCCATGACAGCTGGATCCAGCTTGGATGTCACCCTGCTCTGAATGGGAACTGGGGCTAGATGGGTCTTTCCGTGTTTTATAGCCGCTTAATCATTTGGGGAGAATTTTGAAAACTTCTTTTCCCCTCAGCTGATGAGAACTTGAGCTGCAATAGGACAACAGAAGGGCAGCCTAGTGCTTCCATACAGAAAAATGGGACAAGATTTGGTACTTCTGATGTGGAAGGTAAAACTCTGTGTGTGGACAGACTTACAGGAGGATTGAGGCAAATATGGTAGAAGAAATTAGTTTTTTTGTTTGATTTTGATTTTGGTGTTGGGGTTTTATTCCTCCTCCCTGTTCTGGCAGTAGACCAGGAGGTGTTCTCTGCCTCCTGTCCCTGCAGGGTTTCCTGAAAGAAGGAGAAGAGTGGTACAAATGTAAAGTTGATTGATCTTAAAAAACCAAAACAAAACCCCAAACCACCCAAATTTTATGTCTCAAATCTGGAGTAGATGTATTTTTCATGCCAGTTAAGTGTTGTAGAAGTATTTATGTAAACTATCTTATATTTTTAGATGTTTGACTTGTTTACTCTAGAGGCTTTTAAATTGTAACAAATATAGGTTACTGTTAGGGAGCGTGTTGGTTGTAGGCATCTCGTGATTAACAGAAGAAGTTTCTGCTGATATACTCAATTCCATCAGCTTTCATTTTCCAGGTTTCTTGCATGTTATAAACAGAAAATCCCATCCTGCATTCCTTTAGGTGAATGTTTAGGAAGTATGACAAGTTTACTAAATAGTTTTCAGACTTTCAAGTTAATCTTGAAAGTTTCAGTGTGTTTCATTTTTTTTTAAGCTTTATGTAATGGTGACTTTTAAACCAAATCAGAAAGTATGAATCCTGGGTGGGGTTTGGTCGGGTTTTTTTGTTGGCTTGGTAGATTTTGTTATGTTGGTTTTTTGTTTGTTGGGGTTTTTTTTGCTGTAATTCTTCAAGTAAGTTTGTGTTTGTGCAGTGAGTGTTGCTGACTGCTCCAGCTTTGTCTGCGATAGTGTGGGTTAACAAAGTGTATTTTTGCTGTACTGGGGGAGATGAGGTAGCGGGTCAGCATTTATGTGGGGGTGGTTAAATTCTCAGCTGTGGACCCGCCTTCTGTGGGAGCTGATGTCTCTATGGGGACAAGGATATGCTGTTTAGCAGGGGTATGAATGAGAAACTGTGTTTTCTGGTATTGGAAAGCTAAGGTTTCACATTTAGTAAAGTGATCCAAGTGCGGTCGCTTAAGAGCGTTTAAACAGTACTTCCTGATGTCTCATTCAAAGCCTGTATTGGAATATGTGGGTCCTGTTATGCAATGTTGCGATGAGTGTTTCCTTTCCGCTTATTAAAATATTGCATAAATTTCAACACTTCTTACCAGTGTACTGAAGAAATAGATGTGACAACAATGGCTGTACAAAAGCTTAAAGTTAAGATGTTTTAGTGGAAAATTTTATTTGTGTCTTAGTTTGGAGTTAAAAAATTAAAACTTACCTGCAAAATAATTAGGTTTACTACCATTCAGGATTACAGACAAGCTCAACCAAAATGCTGCGGTGTATGTTTTTGCCAGACCTCTGTATCCCTTGTATTAAGATTTCTCTGGAGTGAAGTTTGCGTCAAGCAGACCCAGTTGGCTTCTAGTCTGCAAAGTTGTTAAGTTTAATCTTGTTCCAGTTTAATTTTAATGTAATAGATTGAAATTATATGCATGGCCGTTTTTTTTTTTTGCGAAGAGTTGGATTTGGAACGAAAGCAAAATGGCTCGAGGACGCAAGAGCAATAGCATCAAACAGAGCGACTTCACTAACAGCACCAATCCTCAGGATTTAGAGAGAAGACTTTTTATCGGCAATTTGCCCACAGACCACATGACTCGTGAAGAAATGGAAGAGATATTTTCAAAATATGGCAAAATCAGGGGTTAGTATATTATCTTATGCCTTTTTGTGGCTGGGAATTCAGTGAGAAATATAACTTTCATGCTTGTCAAATGCTATTTGATGATGATGAGAGGAGTGACTAATGTTGTTCCTAAAAAGTGACCTTTTAATGATGATTTTCTCTGCCTGCATTTTCTTTGAAAAAGTGACTCCTTCAGTACAGCTGAAACGTAATGCGTATCTATCAGCCATGTTTTAGCTTTTGGGGTTGCAGTGTGATGTTACAATACTCTTTCAAGTGACTCCATAGTCTCTTAATCAAATCTTGGTCACTTCATGGGCTGTATTTTGGTCACTGCCTTGTCAGAAGCAAGTTGATCTGCGAAATGTGTTTCAGAGTCTTAAAGCTCTGCATTTTGATCCTGGTAGATTTGCTTTTCCCAGGAAACTGCCATACTCGTTTCTGGGTAGAGCCCCTTTGCTTGTTCATCTGGTGGGGTTACGCGATGGCCTGGGTGCGGGTTAGTACTGTCCCTTAGTTGTAACCGGTCTTGCCCTGCTGTTAACTTTTCCAGCCCTCAGCATGTACCATGGCTATGGGTTCGTGCAGTATGACCGTCTAGAAGATGTCCAGGCCGCTCTGGACGGTGAGAAGGGTCGCCTTTATAAAGGGTATAGATTAGGTAAGGAAAACTGATCCGTGCTCTCCTACTGACCCTAGCATGCGTTCTGGTAGAAAGAGTGCTTTTGTTTTAAAGCTCTCGGAAAGATCACTGTGTGAAACTTGTCTGGCGCTAGTCTAAAATCACTTTTACTAGGGATGTATTTGCCTTCCGAGTTACTTGCTGTAAGTGCTGTGTGGTTCATCTGCAGTGTTTTCTCTTGCCACCTAGGTCTTACTCTGAACTTATTTTTATGTGTTAGTATTTGAAAAGCTGCAGTACCCTGTGTAAGAAACTGTTCCACATGTAAGCCCTGGAAAGCAGTCATTGAAACCTCATACACGTAGCTTTAAAAACATTTGTAAACCAATATTGGGCTTCATCTCGACAGGTTCAGAGGAATTGGTCACAGCACTTAGCGGCTTCTTTGAGAAGTAATCTTAACTTGGATTTTTTTGCACTTGTGAAATCAATCTGTAAGTAGTGCTATAAATACTAGGTGCTTTAAAAAGGACATTTTCATAAAGATGAAAATAATTCTGCTAAATATGCTGGGAGCAAACAAACAGAAATGAATTTTTAGAAATCAGAGTAACCTGTTAAATGCAAGCAAAAAATTTGCTTTCAAAATAAACCTGCACTAATTTAAAGAAAAACAGTTTGACTTAGGAAGGAATGAAAGGAGCAATAAGTAATGACTTGTGGGAAGGTGTGTGTACAGTAGTAAATATGAGCCTGAAGATGGAAACAGAGGCAAATAGACAAGGAGGGTAGAAGGATACAAGAAGAAATTACAGCCAGCATTGTCGAAGCCTAGAAGCTTGAATAGGAACAATTGCGGCTGTTTTAGAAGCTGAGGTGTAACTGTCTGGAAATGATAAAAGTTCTCACTGGAAAGGACCACCTAGTCTTCAGTTAATGTTTCTGCTGTCTATTTTTGAAGAAGCAGAAGGTGGTGTTTTTGATATAATTTCCATTTCAGTAGCAAACTAGAAGAGGTAAAACAGCAGCTACCAAAAGTAGACCTGTCCAAAAAATTAAATCTAACTAACATCTATGAGGCTCAGTGAAATGAAGATCTGCCTAGGCTATTAACATTGTTTTTCCACAAGCCTTGGAATACTAGGGAGTTTCCAGGGACCTAGCAGAACGCTGTGGATGTGCCAGCGGACAGCGTAAATGGGATGAACCTGGCATCAGCCCCGATAATGAAGGGATTCTTTCACCTGATGCTCAGTGAGAAGTGAATTAATTAATGCCAATCAAAATAAATCCTGTCAAACTAACTTACTCTTATGATACTGCAAGTTTTATGGCTGAAAGTAGCAGTGTTGATGTAAAAGACTTCTGTAAGATGTTTGATTTGATTAAGAAACTAGAACAATTAAAACCAACATAAGGTTAAATGAAATGAATCTCAGTGAAACATAGATGGAATTGCTCAGTGCTATGAGTGGTGGTGTAGAAAAATTGATTCCTGGCCATACAGTGCTTTTATAAGTGACTTGGAAAGAAAACACACAATCATGTTTTAAAAAGAGAGGATGAAATAATGACGATTGAGTCACTGATGGTGAAATGACCTAGACTTCTTCCTAAGCTGGATGCAGGCAGAACTGTGCTTTCAGTAAAGCCAAAAGGGAAGATCCGCACCTAGCGGGAGTGCTTTTGTCGTCCTTAGCCGTATAAAACGCGCATTGTAAGTAGGGAGGTTTTGGTACCTGTGGGTTTTTGCTGCTGGAATACTGTGTTCAGTTTTGGTATGCCTGGTTTAAAAAGGATAATGCTAAATTGGAGAAGCCTCAGAAAAATCTGGAGAAGGCTTAAAGAGTTGAAGAACAAGTCCTAGCAAAAGCCACAAGATAAAAGGAGTGGTGTGATCTGTGTGTTACAGGCAGACCTGGAGATAAGCGAGTTTTAATCTAGTAGGCATAGGTATGGCAAGTCCTTAACTGGAAAGAAATAGTTTTCTTTAGCAGCAAAGTAATTTACTTCTGGAATAACTTATTGGAGCTTTGGTGGTTTCTGTGCTCTGAAGACTTTTAAATTGGAATTGGATGTATTGCTAAAAGTTGAGCTCTAGTTCAATGCCACTGCTGCACTTGAGATAGGAACGTGATTCAAGAAACTCGTCACCTGTGTTTATTCAGAAGGTTACACTGTACGATTACAGTGGCCCTGTCATCTCAAAATCCTACAAGACAGAAGACTATTTTTTTTCTCAGAAGTTTTGTCATTGTTCAAATACTTAACCTGTAAATACTGTTGGCATTAAATAAAATGTTATTAAATCTGTTCGTTCTGCACAAGAGAAGGATCCCTTCAAAGGTGTTTTTTCTTCTAGTAAAATATTTTTGTTCAGATTTAAATACATTTTTTTATTTGAAAGAAATGTATGGTATTGAGTGTAAAAATCATAACAGGTTTCTGCAATGCATCTTAAAACAGAAAATAAAAATAATCTTAAACCGAAGAAAGCAGATAGTGTCTTGCTTGAAGATAACACTTGACTTTAAGTGGAAGAAAATTCTCAACTAAAAAATAAATGCAAGGAGAACAGTTGCTTCAGTTATGCAATCTGAGTAATAAATATAATTGCTAATAACACAGTAAGGTAAAAGGCTTTGGGAGAGTTAACTCCAGTGTTGCGTTGCACTAATACTTCCACAAATGTGGTGTTTTCATATCTTCAATGAGTAAAACTATGTAGGGAATAATTGTCCATCAAGTTTAGTTTGTGACAGTAGACAATGCAGCTGTATTTGATCCTGGAGAGACTGCTTTGTGGTCCTGTGAACGTTGTTACGCTGCATCTGTAGTTACTGTTCAGATTGCGCTTGCCTCTCTCCCCCCACAAAAAGAGAACACGCTGCTGCTTGATTGACAAGATGACCAAAAATTAGAACTAATCCCTTAATTCTTATTTTAATCTTGAAAGTAATGAAGGATAGTTTGGGAAGTTACAGAAGATGTTAAGACTGAGTCTGCCTAAAGACATTGTGGCATGTTTATTCTCTTGCAAGAGCTTTGAAAGTAGTTAACGTAAATAACTAATAGGAAGTTTTAATTGTCGATAGATTCTCAGGGAGCAGATAGGACACAAGTTTGTCTTTGTTCTTTTCCTTAAAAGGCTCTCAGAGTAAAATGTCTGAAGTCATTTCTGTTTGTTCTTGCCCCCCTCCAGTACATTATTTCATCTTCAATCAGCTGTTACGGCAGGTTTTGTTTCTTCACAGTAGAACAATATGGGTCCCTGCCAGTTCTGGGCAACTTCACTTTTTCGGGTTGAGGACAAGACTCTGTTTCTTCAGCTCTTTTACTTCTTTGTGTTTCACTTTTTCATGGAGATGCTCAGAAGCCAACCAATTTTCAAATTTCTGCTCTGTTGCATCAGTTTGCATCATGTTAAGTGTGGTGTTTTGAGTGCACCATGTTGACTTCATAAGGAGCTTGTGCTTCAGGCTCCTTGGATCCTGTTTCCTCAGTGGTGGAGGCTGTACAACTTAACGCTGCAGCAGTCCCTTGGAAGGCAGTTACATGTGCCACTTGAGAACCCTTGGATTATTTTCAACAAGGGTAGCGGCATGCTCCATTGAACAGGACTGGCTGTGAACTTAAGACTGTGCTGGCCATCAGCTTCCTTTCTCGGAGGTTTTCAGACTCTGCTTTTTCTCCTAGAGTCCATGAGTCGCTTTCTGCTCGCTCATAGACTGCAGAAGAAAGAGGTTCTCTTATGGAATGAAGAGTCTGGATGTAGGCCTGAATGTAAAGGGTTAAAACTTCACCCAAGCTGTCCACCCTATTTTGAAGTCAGAGAAATCCATGAAAATTTCATTACATTGTACTATCTAAACTTAATAAAAAATTGTCAAAGTGACAATGTCTCTCTGCTGAATGGATTTTCTTGCACCATCTGGATGTTGTTGAGCTTAAGTTGCTTTCATTTGAATTGTGCTGATGATCTTTTTTTGTTCCATAGCATTGAACAGATGGGTTGATTATTCTTTACAGATATTAATAAAGCAGTGGAAAGAAGAAATATGAATAAGGCTTCATCAAGGTCCAGTCCGGCACGAAGGTAAAGTACCTGGAAGCAGTGAGTTATACTAGGAAGGTCAGGCTTTTAGGGCATGAGCCCGGCGGCCTGTGCTAAATGTCTGTGTCTCTTCCCTACCACCACCTCCCCAGTCAGAGGTGCTCAAGCGAGACAGTCGGGACATGGCCGCTTCACCTCTAAGAGCCCTTCTGGCACTCACACCTCAGGAGGCACGAGGGAAATCCTTGTGTCTGCTGCTGTTACTACAGCTAAGCGTTATGTTTTGCAGCACAGGTTGTAAGAGACTTGTGAGGAAGAATACGCTTGGTGTTTGCTTCTGCCTCAAGTATCAGAGAAGCCGAGGCATATCTAGAGAATGCCGATGGGCTGTAGCATTCACAGTGCCATGCTGCAGAGGACTTCGCAATCTTGCCTCTTCTGATGTCGAAAGCTTCCAGTGCTGCAATGAGACTGGAAAAGAGCACGTGAGCGAAGCGCAAGACGGAGCACACGTCTCTATTGCACTGTCCTGTCTGCATGTGTGCTTGTGTTGTCAGTACCTGGAACCAGTCCCCTTCTGTGCAGTTAGTGATGCGTACCTGGCCACCGTCTCCTGGTTTCCCACCCCTCGGTAGGCACAGTGCGTGCAGCTCCTGCACATCCTCTGTGTGTGAAGTTACAGGCAGGTGGAGAAGGCACGGACTGTCCTGTCGCAGGAAGACAACTTCAGTTTCCTTTCCAGACCATTACTAGGAAGCACACAAAGACATGCTGGAGTTACAGTTTGGTATGAGGCATGCATCTTCTATGCCTATACTGTAAAGCTTTCCACACAAAGGAGTGTTACATGTTGGACTTGAAGGTAATCAAGCTCTCATGTCTGCTGTGCTCTACTAACTTGACCTGTTAAATTGCCAAAAATGGGGAAAAAGTGCAACTAGCAAGACATCTACCACCAAAAAACAGAGAATGAGTAGCTGCACTTCTTGGCATCATCTAGGTCTTTTGTATGTTGTGCGCTTACCCTGCACAGGACCAAATGCGCTTGCAGAGACCAGCGTGTGGGCGCTGCCCAGGAAGTGCTTCGGGCACACAGCTGGGGGTTCCCGTTACAGATGCGGCAAGCCTTCGGCCTGGACAGCATCAGGTGTGCTCGCTGCTGGTGTGAGACCCCCAAGAATGCTGCAGGTACACGAGCAGCAGGCACTGCTTGCACATCTTTGGCATCAGTGGCACTGAAGGTGCGTAACACTGAAGGCACTGGGCAGCACTGCAGGAGTGAGAGGCAGGCACCTGTGCCATGAGCGCTGGTCCTTGGACCACACTGCAGAGGGACAAGCAGCAGGCACTGATGCCGTGGGCATTGGGACCTGCGTCACCGCACGTATGCGAGAGCAGATGCCCGTGTCCTGGGCCCTGAGGAGCGCTGGGGGTGTGTGAGCTGTGGGCACCAGGCTATGGACTGGGCTGCTGGCACCGCAGACACCGCAGCCATCCCATGTCACTAGCACCAGGGCCCAAGCAGCACCGTGGGCACGGGCACCCAGCCCTGGGCACGGCTGTGGGCGCACAGACAGTGGAGGATGGACTCTGGACCACGCTGCAGATGTGTGAATGACAGCCGCTGATGCCGGGCTGCGGAGTCCCAGGCTGCAACGCAGCAGGCGGTGGTGCTGGGCCAGCGGTACTGAGTCCTGAGGAGATGTGGGCAGCGGTGCTGATGCTGCAGGAGTTGGACCGTGGTGACAGAGGCGTGGAAGCAGAAGGTTGCTGTGCTTTCGTGCTGCTGCCTCTGCTAGCAGCCGGGCAGCCATGCAGGTGGAAGAGCAGAGGAGACCCGCGCCACGTCTGTACCTCTGTTGCAGTTGTGCGTTGTTCATTCTGGATCTCTTTGTCTCTGCAAATAATGAATGTGGCCTGTTCTGGTCACCCCCACTCCAGCTGGAATAAATATCATATGCCAAACAATTACACTGCATCTGGCTGTTTTGCTATATAGTCTTACAGCTACAGAAAGATCAGTTACTCAGTCTCCATTAGAGCAAATCAGAAGTTTCCCCTGAGCTTCTGCCATCGTTCATTGTAGGTTGGGGGGAAGGGGGCAGCGATGTGTATCTCTCGTGGGATGTGGTTTCAATACAGATTGCAAACAAAAAGCGGATTTGCGTGTCCAAGAGGCTGAAGGAGTTTACACTTGTTTGTGTGCAAATACGGCGTTTCTTTTACAGGAGGAGGCTACACTTGGTGGCCGTGCTGTAGTTTGTCCCAAGATCTGTTTTGTATCTGGTATAAAGACAGAGAATGCCAGTGCTCCTGTGTATCCCCCAGCACAGCTGGGTGTCTAACCACCAAAGTCCATGCACAGACTCTGCACGTCCATCTCCTTACTGTCTGCTCTACCTGACAGTGAACTTGGGCACGCTGTTCTCTCCAGATGACTACATGAATGCACTGTAGTGGAAGCGGACTTATGTTCTGCTTATCTTTCATAAACTAGATTAGGCTGGTAGAGGACTCTAAAAGTCTGTCAAGTTTTGGAAATAAAAAGATTCAAAAAGCTGTTTTTTTTTCTGATGGTTGTCAGTATCTTGGGGAAAGAACGTTCAAAATGTGTGAAGCTCAGTAGTTTCTCTGCAAGACTTTTTTTTATGTTTGGCTTAGACTACGGTGAAAGTTATGTTTTTTTCTGGAAAACAAAATATGACCTGGGGAAAAAACCCTACTGTTTTGGGAAAAGATGAAGACTGGAACATTATTCTTCCTTGCCTCTGAAGACAGTGCAGTGCAAAGTCTGAATGAGACGGATCATTCAGATGTGACAGAGGAGCCTGCTGCTGCTGAGGATGCCATGCTGGTTGGGTTTATTTCCCTCTTAACGTGGGGCATCGTAAACATAAGACTGGCTTTCTATGGAAACTATCCCTTCAAATCCAGGACGCAGCGGTTGCTCTCATTGCTTTCTGCTAGCAGCACAAACCCAACCACAACATGGAACCTACAGTGTCTTTGGTCACAAGAAGCTCCATTTTTAATCATAGGCCAGTAACAAATTATTTCAGGTATTCTGCTGTCATTGACTAGTGAATTTAATGGAACCCTTGAATGCTCCTGGCTATTGCATATTTGTGGGTATTAGGCTCCAGCACCTTGAATTCTCAAAGGATTTGCAAAAACATGTTTGGTAGATGATCCATGGTTGACGTTGGAGGCCGGAGGCCTTGAAACAGTGGTTTCTGAGGTGCCTGTTCACTTCTTCCACAGGCGCTCTACATTTTTAGTGACACTCCATTAAGGAGCTTTCTGGGTCTTGTTTGGCTACAATAAACATTGGAATTAAGAAGCTTCTCCAGGCTGCTTCAACAAATACGGGTTTTTTGGGCAATTCTTGCTGTTGTGGGATAGGAGGGAGGAATCAGCTGCTGAGAGAAGGGTCGCTTTGGCACCTCAGGTAAGAGATGTAGGGGTAACAGTACTCGTGTCGTTAGCGGTCTAATGGAATTTCCCTGGTGTTTTCCTCAGAGAGCCATATGCCTACGGGGAGGGCCGAGATGCCAGACGCGACCGCTCCCCTCTTCGGGGGAGCCCACGGAGAGACCCCAGAGATGGCAGGGATGGTAGAAACGGGCGAGATTCCAGAGACACGCGAGACATTCGAGCTAGAGACATGCGTGATGCCAGAGACCACAGGGACCCACGGGACCTGCGAGACCCACGGGATATCAGGGATCCAAGAGACTTGCGGGACCCTCGTGATGTTAGAGATCTTCGTGACCCACGGGAGCCGCTGTATGATCGATACAGGGATCCACGGGATATGAGGAATCCACGAGATGTGAGGGATCCACGGGATATGAGAGACCCTCGGGATATGAGAGACCCTCGGGACCCTTTGTACAGGTAATTTCCATGAGATTATATTTGCTAACACATATTTATGGCTGTGCTGGTTTGAGTGGTGTCAGGCATTGAAGATAAGGAAATTGCTCTGGCTGGGGACAGTTGGGCGCCTTGCTTTGTGTGTTGTGGGGAGCAGGTGGGTACTTCAGAAATTAAACTTGAGGAAGGTCTGTGTGTGATGCATTGGCAGAAGTTATTGCCTGAGATTGCACTGGAAACTCTTGCTGCTTCTGTAAATGTTGCAGACGAGATGAAGCTTATGACCGTTACCTTCGCCTTGAAGACTACTATCGACGGAAGGATGACTCTTACTATGACCGTTACAAAGAGCATTTTGATAGAGCACCAGTGAATTCAGAAGGTACGTACCTGTAACATTATAACGGGCAGATTCACATGCTCCCTCTGGGAGGATGCAGGAGATGCCTGCAGTGCCAAGTGCGTTGTGTTCTGTGACGCTCCAAGCAGGTCCAAAGGGCGTTATTTGTTCTGTCTTTGTGGCTTGCTTTCAGACCGTCTGAAACGTGAGGAGCGGCGCCGAGAGGAGCTGTACCGTCAGTACTATGAGGAAATCAAGAGACGTTTTGATGCAGAGAGACCTGTGGATTGTTCTGTGATAGTGGTGAATAAACAGACAAAGTAAGAGAATAGTTATGACCAATTTTATTATTGCATGGTAGAAGCAAACGGAATTAAACTTAGTCCTGCCTTGAAGCTGTTGTCTTAACAGGTTGCTCTTGAGGAGCATGGCTTTAGAGCCCTCAAAAAGCTACAGCTTCTGTTGCTGTTCTGAGAATATATGTTGATGAGATGGAGAAATGTTGTATCTTGTGCTTTACTTTTATTTCCTTCTTGTCACCTATCACTATACCTTCTCCTGATACTTTTCTACCTACTCTTCATATCAGCCTACTGTGACGACAGGCTGTAGTGGCCTGTATTTGTTATTCATGGGTTGAATGATATGGAACATATTAATATGTGCCAACCAACAGATAGTACGGAGCAGTTGTCAAGGTGGAGTCGTGGGGGTGTTCGTTTCAGAGCTCCTGTCAGATTGGTTGCTAGGTCAGATACCAGTCAATAACGTTAATCCAGCATGCAAGAAGTATAAAATCACTGCTGAAAGTAGTCATGAATGATATCAAAAGCATGTGTAAGTAGTAACCAGGGTGATCTCATGTGGCAGTCTGAACGCTTACTGAGGTGTCCCCACTCAAACACAGTGTGTCTTTTTATTGTGCTAAATGCAAGATTGTTTATCTAGAAACAAAAAGACTGGCCATCCCTGTAGAATGGTGTGCTTTCTCTTGGAACGTAAGGACTTAAAACAATTTTAGGAGTCAAAGGAACTTGTGTCAAAAATGTTAGTACGTCCTTAGTTTGGAGAGTGGGCGTGCCGTGGTTCAGCCCCAGCCAGCAGCTCAGCACCACGCAGCCGCTCGCTCACTCCCTCTGCCCCGATGGGATGGGGGAGAGAATCGGAGGAGTAAGAGTGAGAAACACTCCTGGGCTGAGATAAGAACAGTTTAATAATTGAAATAAAGTAAAATAGTAATGATAATAGTAACAATATAATAATAATAATATACAAAGCAAGTGATGCACAATGCAATTGCTCACCACCCACCGACCAATACCCAGCCAGTTCCCGAGCAGCGATCGCTGCTCCCCGGCCAACCCCCCCAGTTTCTATACTGCCCATGACGCCATATGGTATGGAACAGCCCTTTGGTCAGTTTGCATCAAGTATTCTGGCTGTGCCCCCTCCCAGTTTCTTGTGCACCTGGCAGAGCATGGGAAGCTGAAAAGTCCTTGACTGGCATAAGCAGTACTTAGCAACAACTAAACCATCAGTGTGTTATCAGCATTCTTCTCATTCTAAATCCAAAACACAGCACTATGCCTGCTACTAGGAAGAAAATTATCCCAGCCAAAACCAGGACAGGGCGCTGTGTTGGGAACAGAGGGGTACACCTGCGCGTGGCACAATGAGAGAGGGGCTGTAACGATGGCACCAGTCTGATGTCTATATCTTTACAAATAAATATATTGAAGAATAGCAAACATGTAAATAAAGCATAGATCTGGGTTGGGTTCTGAAGAAAATGTTTGTCAAGGGGAAATTTAAAGCTCTGTCTCCTTAGCCCTTTGGAAAAAAGATCAAGAGTTGCTTTTATTTAATGTTGCTATACCTGTGAGGCAGAGCGAGCTGGCGCTTGCCTGATCTGGTGGTAGAAGACAGAACAGGAAATTGGAACAAGGGAAGCAGTGAAACTAGAAGTACACTTCTGTGGTTTGCTTTTAATGGAGTTGATTACCTATTGGAACAAATCTTGAAAGGAAATTATAGATTCTTTATCCCTTGGTGACTAAAAGTCTTTGGAAGATATTCTAATAGACCACGAGTTATAGTACTTGATAGAGGGAGATTTTTTTTTTTGTGCAAGAGGATCAGGTTAATATCCTAAGGATCATTTTGGTCTGTAACAGCTACAAACCTGAAGAGCTGGAGCATGTTAATAAATCTTGGGTATTGAAGCATTGATATCACCTACTATAGCCCTGTTGAAAGATGACTCCCGAATAACTAACACAATCGGTGTAACTTAGAAATCCTTAAAAAGACGTCTGGCGGGGGAGAACAGTTTTAGTCACCGTTACAATGTTCACATCCAAAGACGATAAATTGAACCTCTTTCAAAAGGTGTGGCTGCACACAGACTAAATTTTTCAGAATGCATATGCAGTCAGTATTGCAGTTTCAGTACTGAGTACAATAAGCTTAAAAAAAGACTTGAAAACTTGAAGCTCTGTTGTGTGCGCTATGTTTTCTGTTTGGAATGGGAAGTCTGCAGGACAGCGGCTGCAGGAGCAGTGGATCCATAGATGCTGTGTTGATACTGGGTTAGAGCAGGAAGCAGCTAGTAGAACAAAAGAGCAAGAGAAAATGTATTTGGAACTCAAGTGAAAGTTTATGGATGGGTAGTTATCCTCTGAAAATGAATCAAGTCCAGAAGTTGGTCTGTGCTACAGTGAATTAGGATAAGGTGTATTTGAAGAGTTAAGATACTGAACGTAGCACAAGTAATTGACTTCTGTAAGTTAGCTACTCTGCTGTGTCCCCCTTGGATCTCTGCAGGCATAAATTACCTTGCTTAATGAGTTCAGTTTAAACACATTTACATGTAAGCAAATTTATAATAGTGTAAATCCCTTTGCAAACACTCTGTTTCTCAGCTAAGCTGAGGCTTGATTTGTAATCTATTTCAGCTAAACTGAAATGACTGATTCAGATCAAAATAAGGGTAGGATATGGGCTTTTATATTATTGTAATGAGATTGCTTTAATACTGTCCTGTCAAACATTATGATGTTTGGCAAGCCATCAGAAAAGCGAATCTGAGACGACAGAGAGGGTGAATGTGCCAGGGTTTCTGTTTCTGTATGTGACTGACTTGTTCAACTCTGCTGGCTTTGCTTTGTGGTAGGGAGTACGCGGAGTCAGTGGGGCGGAAGGTGCGGGATCTGGGCATGGTAGTGGACCTGATCTTCCTCAACACAGAGATGTCACTGACGCAAGCCCTGGACGATGTGAGCAGAGGAGGGTCTCCTTTTGCCATTGTCATCACCCAGCAGCATCAAGTTCACCGCTCTTGCACTGTTAACATCATGTTTGGCACCCCACAAGGTACTGAGGTCTCAGTAGGCTGTGTGGCTCTGTGGTCACTCTGAACCGAAAAACTTTCAAGCCGAATCAATCACACAGGACAAAGTTCATCTTTGCTGTGACATAAGTAGTTATTAATGACTTGGCATCATGTCATAAATGTGAATATAATTATTTACAAGTTTCCATAATACTTTATTTGTCCCTTGTCACAAGGCCCATCTAATTTCTGCCAAGAGAGAATCTCGGCTGCATTCTTAGCGCCTAACATCACCAGCCTCTGCATCTTAGGGCAAGTCATGAACCCCAGCTCTAGAAATGACTGCATTGCCTTGGTAGATTTCTGAGTAATACCAGTCCAACCTCAGTCTATCACTTGTTGCTCTCAAAGAGAGCATGTTTGGAATGTGACAAATTACAGGACAGATTTTAGAACCAAATGTGGTTTAAGGAAAACAGAATAAGGATAGTGTATTCAGTCAAGGTAAAGATCTGATTGTGAAACTGGGAAGAGTTATAAAAAGATACAACTATAAAGTGATTTGTTTGTACGTGCTCCACCTTTTTAGCATTTTAGCGCCATTTACACTTGTCGCATCACTTTCCATCTCAGGGTGTGACTTGGTTGTTGTGAGCGTGAGGGTGGGTGTAGGTATTAAAAAAAACATCTTGTCAGAATGTGATCTTGGAAAGCAGCCTTTTGCTCTGATGAGGTTATTTCTCCCTTACTGTGTTCTCAAGTAGTGATTTGTGAGATTCATCTGGGAGAGTAAACTTCTTGAATGCACAGTCACCGGTTTTTGTGTGCTTACTGACTGAAGAAGCCCGGTTTCTTTTAAGATCAGATGCAGATGTGATAGGAGGGTTCTCTCATTTCCTGCAGAAATACAGCTCGCACACTTTCACTGGGCTTTCCGCTGCCCTTGGTTTTAACTCTAACTCCTTTGGTTTAACACCCGTCCTCCCACCAAAGCTTCTCTCCTTCTTTACTGGATCTAACAGTGTATCAAATCTGATAAGAACCCCAGTCATTAGCTCATCCACAGCTCTTTCTAGAGATTAAATATGCTCACTTGAATTCCTCACAGCCACCTTTCCCTTCACATTAGTTTCAGGGAACTCTTTCACAAGTTGTACGAAGTGTAATTTGTGCAGGTGTGAAGAGTGCCCAGAGCTTCGGGCACTTTTTGGAAGGTAAAGGCCTTCCCTTTGGTTCTCCGTACTTAAATCTGTGTTCAGGGGAATATTTGCCTGTGTACTGTGTGAGGTGGAAATAATGATCTCAAAAACTTTGAAAGGCAAGGGGAACAAAAAAAAAGTTGAAATTGACCATTATTTGTTGTATTACAGAAGAACTTGATCGCTGCTTGTTGCCCCAGAGTAGTAAACATAGCAGCAATGTGATATTGAGCCAGTGCTGCTTTCCTCCCCGTCTCCTGCATGCGCACACACTATATTAAGGCATTGGCAGTACAGAACCAAAAAGTATTCCCCTCGCTGTCCTGCTCGGGGAAGCTTTAGCAGCCTTCAGAGGGCAAGTTTTGGATCTGTCCAAGGCTTCAGCAGTAGAATGGCTGGAACTGTCTGCTCTTGGAGCATGGAGAATTTATGTGAGAGAGAGAAGGAGCTGCTTTCCCTTTTAATTGGGTGAGAGGCAAGACAGACATTTCTTGGGCTGATACGATATCTTCTCAGAGCCCTCAGCTGTGGAAGTAAAGGATGGCCTTGCTGGGTGATAGCCTTGAGCCTTCTGTCAGCTTAGGAAATTGAACTGTGTGCCTAGGAAGCTTCCCAAGTCTACACTTGCAGTCCCAAAGCTGTTGCCTGCCTGCTGAATGAGATGTGCTGGTGTGCATGAGGCAAGGCACCTCCTGTTAGCATCACTTTCATTTACTTAAAACGTTTCTTTTCCTTGTGCAGAACACCGCAACATGCCTCAAGCTGATGCCATGGTGCTGGTGGCGAGGAATTACGAGCGCTACAAAACAGAGTCGCGGGAGAAGGAGCGCGAGGAAATCGCCCGGCAGGCTGCCAAGATGGCAGATGAAGCTGTTCTGCAGGAGCGGGAGCGCCCACCCCCCATGGAGGAGGGTGTCAGAGGAGGTCACCCTCCGGGGATTCAGACTCTCTTGAACCTGCTGGCAGACAATCGCTATCTAACTGCTGAGGAGACTGATAAAGTAATTAATTACTTGAGAGACCGGAAGGAACGGTTGCTGAGGGGAAGCACTGATTCTCTGCAGGGTAAGTTTCTCAGCCCCAGACAAGGCTGTTAATCATACGGTTTGTGGGCCCTCCGGGCTGGGACCTGAAAACAGTCCTGGAGCTGCAGAGGAGTCCCAGTGTTGTAACTTCCTCACACAGCGCCTCGTTTTATTGAGGTGGATGTGTCCTTGGGAGTCCTGAGACAATTCAGATCTTTCATGTGAAAGAACTTTTATATTGGATTCTCTCAGGGAAACCATGGGACTGCCAATAATTGGTTTGGCTGCTACACGAAGGGCAAGAGTTCTGCTGAATGGTTTGGGTTTCCCAGAGCTGTGCAGCTCTCCTGTTCAGAGGGTGGGTACTCACTGATGCCTGTGTCTTTGGTAGCTGTTTCACTAGTTTTTTTAGGTGCCCCTTCAAGGGCATTTGCAGAGCTTTAACACTCTTTCCTTTCTTTCCCAGCATCCATGACAAGACAGTCTTTGGGGGCACCTTCAGGATCATCTCTGGGTAGTCAGTCCAGCCTTCCAAGCTCTCAGGCTCATCAGGGTTCACAGCCTCTGGTCTCTGCTCCTTCTGTTCCAGCGTCCTCTTCTAATCCTCAGCAGGAGCTTCAAGCAAAAATCCTCAGTCTCTTCAACAGCGGGGCGGCAGCGGCAGCAGCTGCTGTAGCAAACAGCAGTTCTGCAGCCTCTGCAGGCACTTCAGGTGGCACTCCGAACCAGAACTTTGCTAACATGGCCAGCGGTCAGGCCCGGTCAGCACAGATGAGTGCTGGAAATTTAAACCAGGCTCAGCAGAGATTGCAGACTCCAAGCACACAGCTTCCTGCTCTCCAAGGCCCTTCAAGAAATGCGGGTCCAAGACCTGGAGCTCCTCCACAAGCTCAGTCACTCTATGGTCAGCACCAAAATCGCCTCCCTGCACCTGGCAATGTACCTGCTCAAAGGCCAGTATCTTCTGGTATCAACTTTGACAACCCTAGTGTACAGAAAGCCTTGGACACCCTTATCCAGAGTGGTCCTGCACTCTCCCACCTAGTGAGCCAAACCGTGGCCCAGGGGCGAGCAGGGTCCTCAGCCCAGCAACCTATGGGTTCCTACCAGCGACACTATTAAAGCTGAGCTGTCAGGCCCTTTCCCTTTCCCTTTGCCATTCCATACTTATAGCTGTTTAAAGAGTCTCCTGTCCTTGACATGGGACAATGCATGTCCTCTCCACTTTGGCGAGAGTGTACCCCCGGTGGCATTGCTGCTGACTGTTGCTAGCGCTGCCCTTCCTCTCCTTGGTCTGGTTAGCAGTGTTTGGAGAAGTATGCTCTATTTTCTCAGTGGCACGATGTGCTAGGAGTTGCTTTGGATAATCGGTTATTTTGTCCAGTCCCAGAAGCTGCTGCAGTGACAGCCCTTCTGCATTGTCCTCACTCCCAGTAGCTGGCGCATCTTCACATTGCGGCGCAGTCTGGCCTCACTGAATAGTTTTAGTGTAGTTTTGGGTCGGTGGTTTTGAGGAAACGGGACTGAACAGAGCGGTATGCTGATTGGGCCTTCTTGGAGACCTACCTTTTTGGAATGGGCACTATTTTTCTTTGGATTTCTTTTTTTATTTCTTTTTTTAATGGCACATAAGCCAGTTGGAAAGTGCAGTGGTAGCGCTAGCAGCTGAACTCATGAAGCACATGCATGACCACTGCTCAGTAACCCAGGACCATGCCGTTTGGTCCTTCCGTAGCTGGACTGTCATGTCCTGGCAGGGCGAGGCAGAGAGACGCTCCTCACCTCGCCCAGCTCACAGAAACTGGCAGCTTTGCTCCGAGTACTGTGGCAGATCTGAAACACAAGAGCTTCCAGCCAAGGCAGAGATTTCAAATGGTCTGTCAATTTTCCTACACCAAGTAGGTCAGTGTTAAGATCAATCTGTTAAATTTGGTGTATAAATTCCCTTTTCTTATAACCTTGCTTTGGGACAGTTGGTTCCTGTAGCCCAACAGCTCAGCCGCAGCCACGCTGATGTGCTGCTGGCCCTCCCTTGGGAATACCTGCAGCCAGTTACCAGGTGGTGAATGTCTGCTCTGAGACTTCATCTCACTGTCGATGGGGGTTTTGTCCATCTAAGGTGCAGAGGCAGTGCCAAGATGCAATACCATAATTTTTATATATTTTTTTCAACTTTGGTAGCTGCAGCGGAAAATTGAGTGGAAAATTGGGCAGTGATTCTTCACCGTGTTTTTAACCAGTAACATACTTTGATACCAGAACACAAAACATCTCTTAACTATGTGGTCCTCCCCATCACGGCCTTCTTAGAGTCTGTAGGCTTCCTGCAGAGAACCCAAAGAAACTAAGAAAGCGGTGTTCTTGGAGCAGAGGATTTTCTTTGTCCCAGGTGGTTTGTGTTGTAGCATTTTTTTCTTTCCTCTCTGTGCTGTTAACAAGAGGACATTACTTTTTAATAAAAAGGCAGGAAAAACGTTTTGTTGCATTTTTGACACTTGACAGCTTGAGTACTACTGGAGTACATTATTCCACTGTGTTTGCCATTACTCTCTTCTTCCAGATAAGCTGTGTCAGACGCAGCCCAGCACTGGATGCTAAGCGGAAAGCGTACGAACCTTACCGTGACCCGCTGTGAGAATACTGTAGTCTGTCTCAGTTTATAACACTTTGAAGTACCTCACAGATGCTTATTCTCACACAGTGGACCGGGACCATCTTGGGCAGAGCGGCCCGTGTGCCCATTGAGGGACCCGCGTGCTGGAGCAGTGCGTGGCAGGGGCCGGCGCGAGAGGTCCGAAGCCCCTCCGGTCGTGGGAGGGGAGGGTGCACGCTCGGGCCAGCAGTGAACTGGTCTGGCGTCCTGCCGCAGTTGCTGTTAATCGTATGGCTGCTGCGTGAAGTTAGGGCTGCGAGTACCTGTGCATTTAACACTGGCCTGCCTTGACTTTGTGCTGCTGTTACTACGCAGCCTGAAATTGGATGGAAGTTTGTCTGTCTTCCATCTTTCCTCCTCCAGTCTCTTTTTGTTAGATCCCTTTCTCCATCTTTACAACCCTGCAGAGACGTAAAGCATCTTTGCTGGGGTGATCAGAAATTTGCGAAAGCTTAAACCAGGGGAACTGTGGCATTTGGGAGAGGCTGTTCCTCTCCTGATGTTTTGCTTCCTCTGCGATCTGCTGCTCCCTGTCGGGGCTTGCTCCTTGTTACGGGAATGGTAGCAGCCAAGTGTAAAACAGCTGCGGAGACCCTGGAAGCAAGTGAAAACTCCCCGTGCAAGTAGTGAAGGGTGTAATAAAATCATTTATTGCATTTTGTGCAGACAGGAGTCTAGAAAAATGAATACAGTTAAAGCAGTAAAGCATTAACAGGGAGCATTCAACAGCCGAGGAGCCACTCCTCCATTAATACCTGCACAGAGAACACAGGGTCTGTACTGAGGCGGCCTAATGCACAATACTGAAACACTCACAGAAATAAAATACAAGCCTAATACTCTTTTTTTTTTTTTTCCTTTTTTGGTTTGCAACCTGTTTTATTTACAAGGTTTTAAACTTAATTGCATTGCTCTGCACACAGATTCTCTAAAACACAAAGCATACTACGTCACTACATGTCTATTGCAATATTGCACTCGAATAAAAGTCACTTTAATGGACGTAGAACATCTAGCTACAGTGATTAAAAGATTATTGAATGAACTGACTTTGTGATAACATTCATAACAAATATATTGCACATGTAGCACAGAAAGTGGTGTAACCAGCAAATCTCAGACCTTTTGGTCTTTCTGCTAGTCTTTAGTCCTGCTACACAGAGGAGGGTCTTGACTCTTCTAGTGCAACTCTTACCCTTGTGCAGCATCTAGTCCTTCCCCTCCTCCAGCCACGGACCAACCCGCGCTGGACGCTGCCTGCGCCTCCTGTAAGTGCTGTCTTGTGGTCTGTTGCCTGTACTGTGTGGTGGCTGCAGCGACGTGAGCTGCCTCCTGCTGCTGCTG